CTGCTGAACGCGAGCGAGGAATGCTGCTCCCTGAGTGTGCTGGCGGTCCTTGTGCGAAAAGTACAAATGCCAACCCAGCATTGACTGGCAAGTTGGGAAGTGGGACAGAAGGACAAGGAGCCGTGGGGCCGCGGGATGCCGTCGGGAGGAGCGGCTGGGCTTCCCTGGGCGCTCCCGGGCTGCGGCAGTGCCCTCGTGGGGGCACAGCACGGGCCAGACGGGTGCCCTGCAGCAGCACGCACCCTCGCCCCGCGGCAGGTCGGTGCTGGAAATGTGCCTCCTCGTTACCCCCGGATTTCGGAGCCCCTCTCCCGGGGCGATTCCCTCCCCTCGCTGGTTTGGTTGACCATGTTGGCAGGCGCTGGGAGTCTGTGCTCCGTTCGGCTGCTTTGATGGTTTCCTTTGCAGAGAGCTGCATTGCAAGACTGTGAAAACTGTCGTGTAGCGATTATTTTTCTGCTTGATACTCGGTAGAAAGGAAAGGGAACATCAGTTTTCCCAAGTGTGGAAATGCAGAATACTCAGGGGCTGGGATGCCCGGATTTAGTGATTTTATCTTGAATCCCCGCTGCTGCTGCAGCCCCGTTACAGATGTTATCCTGTAAGGAGGCTTCTAGAAGGGGACTTGAAAAGCGGAATGCACAAGAGGGAAAAAGCATTTGGGAGGCATTCCAGGGAACTGCTGCTGTTTAAGAAAACCCAGGCGTAAGTTTTAAACCTTCTGTGGCAGGATGGTCCTGGTGACACATCACATCACATGTATATTACATATATGTGTAACATAAACGTCTCAAAAATATGAGAAGGTTTTGTCAATGCATAGGAGGCGTAAGAACAGGCAACTCTGAAGATACTGTGTGTATAATTTACAATTTCTCTTGAAGTTTGGTAGGTTGGTGAAGCACGTCGAGCACCTGACTGATTCCCTCTCAAGAGCCTGAGCCATGTGGAGAGAGCAAACCTGCACTGGGTTTTCAAAGTCTGAGATTTAAAATCAAAAGGCTGCCTGCAAAGGGAATCGATGGCACAGTATTATACTGTTTTTATAAACAGCATTAAAAGCATTATGATTATTTTTAAAGATCAAGAAAAGGATCTCTGCCAACTGTAAAGGTGTGATTCGATGCAGATTTTTTGCAGCAGAGCTTGTAGAAATGACCCCGATTGATGGACGGGCCGTGGTACAATAATCCTGGCTCAGTTTTCGCGTCGTACGTTGGTTTTTTTCTCCAAAATCCCTCGCAGCTTAACGAGTGCAAAACACTGCTCGAATAGATGAGTCAGGTGTTGGGCTTTGTGAAAAATGGTCATCTGCAGAGAACCGCCTTCACGTGTTCCTCCTTTGTTTCCGTTCCAGGTTTCTAGCACGGGCTCATCCATCGACCAGGTCGCGCCAGCCACAGGCCTGCTGCCATGTCGAAGCTGAAGAGCTCCGAGTCTGTGCGGGTGGTGGTGCGGTGTCGGCCGATGAACAGCAAGGAGAAGACGGCTTCGTATGAGAGAGTCGTTAACGTGGATGTCAAGTTAGGGCAGGTCTCCGTGAAGAACCCGCGGGGATCATCTCACGAACTGCCTAAAACTTTCACCTTTGATGCTGTGTACGACTGGAATTCCAAGCAGGTGGAACTCTACGATGAGACCTTCAGACCTCTCGTGGACTCTGTTCTGCAAGGGTTTAATGGGACAATCTTTGCCTATGGGCAGACTGGGACAGGGAAGACGTATACGATGGAAGGGGTGCGTGGTGATCCTGAGAAAAGAGGGGTCATCCCCAATTCGTTCGATCACATCTTCACCCACATCTCTAGATCCCAAAATCAGCAATACCTAGTTAGAGCTTCTTATTTGGAAATATACCAAGAAGAAATCAGAGACTTGTTATCAAAGGATCAGTCCAAGCGGCTGGAGCTGAAGGAGAGACCAGACACGGGTGTGTACGTTAAGGATTTGTCCTCCTTCGTCACGAAAAGCGTCAAAGAGATAGAGCACGTCATGAACGTGGGAAACCAAAACCGCTCAGTCGGGGCCACCAACATGAACGAACACAGCTCTCGATCTCATGCCATTTTTGTGATCACTATTGAGTGCAGCGAGCTGGGGCTGGACGGAGAGAACCACATCCGTGTTGGGAAGCTCAACCTGGTAGACCTGGCGGGCAGCGAGCGGCAAGCGAAGACTGGAGCGCAGGGGGAGAGGTTAAAGGAAGCGACTAAAATCAATCTCTCCCTTTCAGCTTTGGGCAACGTTATCTCTGCCTTGGTGGATGGCAAAAGCACACACATTCCGTACCGGGACTCAAAGCTGACCCGGTTACTTCAAGACTCATTAGGTGGCAATGCCAAAACTGTGATGGTGGCCAACATAGGCCCTGCCTCTTACAACGTGGAGGAGACTCTGACAACACTGAGATACGCCAACCGTGCCAAAAACATCAAGAACAAGCCACGAGTGAATGAGGATCCTAAGGATGCTCTGCTACGAGAGTTCCAGGAAGAGATTGCTCGGCTCAAGGCGCAGTTGGAAAAACGGTCTATTGGCAAAAGAAAGAGGAGGGAAAGGAGGAGAGATGGTGGGGAAGAGGAGGAGGACACTGAAGAGGGTGAGGATGAAGGAGACGATAAAGATGACTATTGGAGGGAGCAACAAGAAAAGCTGGAGATTGAGAAGAAAGCGATAGTTGAGGATCACAGCTTGGTAGCAGAAGAAAAGATGAGACTGCTGAAAGAGAAGGAGAAGAAAATGGAGGACCTGAGGCGAGAGAAGGAAGCAACAGAGATGCTGAGTGCTAAAATCAAGGTAGGATTCTTCCTTGTCATGCTTTTCAAAAGTAATTTATTTAGGCTGTGGGGAAAAATAGCAGGTTTCCCAATTTGGAAAGATATTTCAAAAGAAGTTTCCAGGATAGTGGTTTGTGTTTAGATCAGAATTTGAAATTCCTTTCATTTCCACCATTAATTACATCTTTCAATATTCATGAGTCGTTTCATTGTTCTCATGTGCTGATCTTGTAGGATCTCAAGCCATCAGCACCATAAAATGTGGTGATGATACATCTCTTGACACGCTGTAGCACAGAAAATGCTGAATTCCGTCACAGATCATGAACACGTCTTTTCCAGGAGACCATGTGTTTTGGTTCTCCAGCTTCGCCACACGTTGCAGCAATGTGTAATTCTAAGCAAGTTATTGTTTTATTAATCCCACCATTTTATAGGAATTTTAAGAAACAGTAATTCTTGTAGCAGCTGACTTGAAAGAGAACGTTAAATAAGGGAGCTGCCCTGAAGGAGCTGTATCCATAGGACAGAAAGTTACGTTCTGCGGTCACTGAGAGAAACTTCTGACCTTGGTTTTTGCTTTCAGGCAATGGAAAGCAAGCTTCTGGTGGGAGGGAAGAATATTGTGGATCACACGAACGAACAGCAGAAAATCCTGGAACAGAAACGACAGGAAATTGCAGAACAGGTACAAGGAAGAACGTTTGCTGGTTTGTGTGAAGAGCACAGCTGCAGAACTTCTGTAAAACATTGTCTTAGGAGAAACCTGTAAGAAAATTTGCCCAGGGTTAACTCTAAAATCGGTTGAACAGCAAGCATTCATCTCAAAAGAGGAGGGCAGGGCTTGTGTCGTGTTTGTCATTGTGTGAAACACCTAAAGAAGGTTTGTAGTAGTTTTCCTCCAGCTTTTCACGTTAGGGATTTGTGTCCTGTGTTGATCGGAGCGGTCTGTAAGTGAAGAAAGGATTGGAAGACCTCAGAGAGTGAGAGTTCAGCAGCGAGCTCGAGGGAGGGATGTTTACTGGGTGCTGAAAGTTTATTTTCTGATGTGCATTTTCTGTCGGTGATTCTTTAAGTGCAATGACTGGTACGAATTGGTAAAAAGGAAAAAAAATAGAATCTAAACATGCCATTTGACTCCTTTAAGTGAAGCTCGAGCACTTATTCACACTGTCTGATTTTAGTAGCAGAGTAAAGACAGAGAAGAGTTAATGCTTCTGGTATTCCTAAGGCGAGAGACAGGAAGAACCAGAAGCTAAAGCAGAAGCCCTGGAACCCAGGGAAGCAAAACCGCCCTGAGTGCAGGTTTCACGCGTGCCAGCCCGGAGGTGCCGATGGAATTGTGTCTTTAATATTGTACGTCACGTTCTGCAGAAACGTCGGGAGCGAGAGATCCAGCAACAGATGGAAAGTCGGGACGAGGAAACACTAGAGCTGAAGGAGACCTATAGTTCTCTTCAGCAAGAGGTGGACATAAAGACCAAAAAACTCAAAAAGGTAAAAGGAAAATGATCCTACGTCTGGTGAGTTGGGAATAAAATCACGTTGTGTGTGAAAGCGAGAGGAACGTTGGCACGTTACGATTTTGGCTCTTGCTTTCTGTTCCAGTTGTTTTCCAAGCTGCAAGCTGTGAAGGCAGAGATCCATGATCTCCAAGAAGAGCACATCAAGGAGCGCCAGGAACTGGAACAGACCCAGAATGAACTTACCAGGGAACTAAAGCTGAAGTAAGTCACGTCACTTCATTGCCTGCTAGTAACTGTAACGGAGATGGTTCCTTTGGGTGGGGAGAGACCCCATTGCACGTGCTTGTGGAACAAGATTTAAACGGGAGAAGACTAAAACATTCCTCCTTTTCCAGGCCTGCATTAAGTCAGTGGGAGAGGAGCAGTGGAGAAAGTAATTGCTAACTGTTTCTTGTGTATTTCCCATTTTTGTGGTTGCATGTAGGCACCTGATCATTGAAAATTTTATTCCCTTGGAAGAAAAGAATAAGATCATGAACAGATCATTCTTTGATGAAGAGGAAGACCAGTGGAAACTGCATCCCATAACCCGTCTGGAGTGAGTGTACTTCTCGTCTTTTCTTGGGGTGGAATCAGAGGTAGGTCACAGAAAACCCTCTAGCTCTCCAGACCAAGGTACCCCAAAAGAGGGATTGGACTGGGGATTTAAACCGGCCCTCTAGAGTTCATAGCTTCTGGCTTCACAATCAAATTAAAAAAAATTTGTTCCTCTTAGCAGGTTGAATAAAATAGGAATGTACAAATAGGAAAATTCTTGGAAGATTAGGATATGTAATCATGCGTGCACTGTTAAAACAGCGGTCAATTCCTATCGTATTCCTTTCCTGTTTTAGATAGGAAAGCTCTCAAAAATAATTATTATTACAAGAGCTGTGGCTAGATCTGGGCTCTACACAGAAAGTTCTCTACAGCACATTTAGAAAGTTGGGTGCAGCTGCGATCTGAGTAGTAAAAATACGTAGAAATCCTCCCCTGTGTGCAGGGAGCAGATGACACGGGATAACTGTCTTACCTTCTTGTCTCTGGCTGCAGAAAGCTGTTCCTGCAAATGCAGCCTAGGTGGTTTCTGCTCTCCTGAAACATATTCCTGTGTGGAATTTGCAGATGTTTTAGCTCATGAACTCCAAGAGGAGTCTTTGGTTTTGGTGTATAATAGACTGAGTATCCATTTTTCTGTAGTAACCAGCAGATGATGAAGAGACCAGTCTCTGCTGTAGGATACAAAAGGCCCCTGAGCCAACATGCCAGGACGTCCATGATGATCCGTCCGGAGGCTCGGTACAGGGTAAGCCCCGATGTGGTTACAACCTTCGTGTGTTCACCCTCCTGACCAGGGGAACGTGAATTTCGAAGGAGTGTAAGTTTTCAGTGAGATGTAAATTTGTACAGCGTGCTGCATACATTCATAAAGTACTTCAGAACAAGCTTCTGGAGGGAAAAGAGACAATTTGGATGAAAACCTGCAGACTTTGACTCTTCTTTTACTGTCTCAGGCAGAGAATATCGTATTACTGGAGCTCGACATGCCCAGCCGAACGACGAGAGACTACGAAGGTCCAGCCATTGCTCCCAAAGTTCAGGCGGCTCTAGAAGCAGCTCTGCAGGACGAAGACGAGATACAGGTGGACGCTTCAACCTTTGAGAGCACTTCAAACAAAAAATCTAAACCCAGGTGAGTTGGGCTTTTAGTGAGCAGGCCAGCCCACGGTGGAGGTGCAAGTACAGTTGCTGTCAGCGCTTCTCAGCAGGAGAGTTAAGGCGAGCTCGGCTGTAAAGCAGAGAGAGAGAGAAAGGAACATCGGGCCAAAGAGAAAGCTGAGGCTGAGTAGGAAATAAATGCAGTAAAAAAGTTCATCTTTGGAAGATTAATTTTTACGAGTAACAGGTGACGTTGTTGGGTTTTTTTTGTTTATTTTTTCATTTTTACTTCTTCAGGCCTAAAACTGGAAGGAAATCAGGGGGATCCTCTTCAGCAGGCACCCATAGTTCTCAGCTCTACCCTCAGTCCCGAGGGCTGGTTCCAAAGTAAAACCAGCAGCTCCTCTCCAGGGCGCCAACAGCCTTTGCCTTCTGAGAGCAGAGACGTGAAAACCTGCGGAGAGCTCCCCGCCAGGCTCCAGCCCCTTTCCCTGGAGATGGCCTCCTTGCTGACTGACTGACTGTGCCAGTCCAGGTGCGCTGAGCCGCAGGAAGACACGTGTTTGCAGTTCAGCATTCGGCCTCTGTGGGAACCAGATTTTAGTTAGGAAATCAGAAATGCATGAGGTACGTTAAATGTGTTAGAAGCCATGGGAAGCATAGGGATCACCTCACGGCGTCACCGTCTCTCCTTCTGCACTGGCTCTTTTGCTGCACTGGGCTTTTTTGCTGTTGGGCAGTAAGAAGACAAGAGTTGAAAGTCATCTCAACAGAACCACCGCTCCAGAGCTCCATAGCGAGACCCGAATGAGGCTGAAAAGCAGAGAATCTGTTCAAACTCGACTAGGTGCATAGTTTTTCCTCTTCCTGCTTGAAAGACTGGCATCGTCATTTGGGGTTAAGAAGTTGGTCTGAACAGGCAGGATGGCAGCGGTCAGCAGGTGCTCACCACCAGGTAGCTGTGCCTCCCTTTAGAGCTGTAGGACAAGGAAGGGGGCTTGAAAGCAGCTTTGTGCTCTCTAGGAAGGACACAGGAGGAATTGAGTCCTGTCCTTGTTTACAGGTGTAAGTAAGAGCTCCCCTAAACTGACCTCCTGCAGACCTCACCCCTGCCAACAGGAACCACCTTGTCAAAAAACACACCTGCATACCAGTGCCAGCTCCACGGCTTTCTTCCTCTCTCTTGCCTCCATCTTCACCCCCGGCATTGCAGACCAGTGTCCGTACGAAGTCTCTGCGCTGCGGGGTGGCGTTACCGCCCTTTTCCCGCATCTCCTGCACTTCACGGGAAACGTGGCGTGGGCTCAGAGCTGTCTCCCTGGCGGGCTCGCGGGGCTGACTCTGCTCTCTCCTCTGGGATGGGTAGAGGGGAGAGCGCAGTAACGTGGAGCTGCCCTTCAGCGCACCCTTCTTCCCAGTACGGTCCCTTTCCACGGTGTCTAAGGAGGTTCCGTGTTCGGTACCTTTGTGCCTCGCCTGTCCCACGTTAGCAGCTTTCCCTTTGCACCTCCCAGCCCAAGCAGAGCCCGCTCGAGTGAAAGCACAAGTAACCGAGTCTGGGTCATGGCATCTGGTGTTAATTCCAGGGGTTTTACTTTGAAAACCAGAGAGGAAGAACTCCTGCTTTTGATGGTCTCGTCGGAAAGCTGCCCTGTGGCTCAAGCGGGCCCCTGGGATGCTGCAGGCTCGTGTGGCAGGGCAGAAGGAGGGGGAACTGCTGTGCCAAGGACGGAGTGCGGTGTCCCTGTCTAGTGTCTCAGCTCATTCCCAAGTTTTAGTTCACTGTACATCGAGACTCGGGATGTCACTTTTTCTGGTTGCTGTTGGCTGTCATCCTACGAACCTTTTCACTGACGACTTCCTCCAGGCTGACGTCTGTGAGTGCGTGGGGACTTGCCTGGTTTCAGAAACGCTCTGGCGTGTGGACTCTGCCCTGTGTGCTCGCTAAGCGTCCGCTGAGCGACGTCACCCAGGCTGGAGGGCTCCGTCCTGCCTGACCCCGCGAGCGGGAGGACCTGAACGCTCAGCACAGCTCACCTCTGCATCCTGCGGGCACGGTGCCCCGGTGAGCCAGCTGCCCAGGTGGGCCCAGTTAAGCTCTAACTCGGCTGCTTTGATTCATGGAGGGTTTTTCTGGACCACAAGATTAATATATATATATATATATATATTAGTTTTGGGGGAAGAAAGAGGAGTTTGCTTATAGAGAGCAGGCGTCTGACAAATTTCTTTTGCCCTGAACATGGAAACCTGGTGTGATCTTCCTTTTTATAAAGCACTGTTTATGTACAGAGAGCCTTTTAGTTGGCTCTCGTTGCGTAATATAATGTCACCTTCTCTTCCCTCTCCTCCCTCTGCCTCCCTAGCACATAATCTTCTGTACTTTTGACATTTTAAAAGATGATTGTATGGTGTAAGTGCTCAGAGAATTGAAATTAAACAAGGGGGGTCTAAAACCTGAAATAGCAACAAAATATATAATCAGATATATGTGCATAGCGATGTACCATGTATGTTTTATGTGAATATGCATCCACAGACACCTCTGTGTCTGCACATGCGCACACTTCCTCGGTCGCTGCTATTCCGTAGGGAATTCTGTATTAAAGTCGTGCTGGAAACTCCCCGTGTAGCAGGACCGGTACGGTGGAAATGGCGGTGCAAACCCAGACTGTCCTTGTTTTAGTGTTGATAAGCTGCTGGCTGATATGGCAGAAAGGCTCTGCTTTTAATTCTGTAGAAGTTCATTAGCGAGGTGCGAGAAATTCAATAGGGTGGAAAAAGGATGAAACTGCGTATTTAGTCATTGTATTTAAATTGGAGATTTGGTTAGTGTACTCGTGGGCAACCTCAGGTTGGCACAGAAGCTCCGAGATTCTCATTCCGACGGACCTGCCCTCGACCAGATACTCAGTGGCGCTGATATTAAAATAAAATATGTTGTCTTAAGCTGTCCAAAACATACTGAGCTCTGGGTTGAAGTTTTTAAGAAGCATTCCTGCCACGTTTTGCCCTCTCTGGGTGTTCTCTGAACCACCTGGCACTCCTGCAGGCTGATGGCCAAAGACAGGAAATCCAGCCGGCTCCTGGAAGAGGCCCTCGGACAGCACGCGCTGTCATGGTTTCTTCACAGGAATGTTTAACGTCCTTCTTGGCTTGGCTCGGATCTGTGTAATGGCATCTTTTTTTAAAAAAGTGACATGCAGCAGAAGCTGGCCCTTGGCCCCGGGAGCAAGCACTGCCTGACGCGGAAGCGTAGGACTTAAAGCACTTTCCGAAACTCCTTGCCGTAGGTCTAGCGCCTGTTTGGAAGTGTTTGCATGCTGCTTGGGTCTGCTGGGACACACACCTCTGCCCCAGCACCGTCATACAGACCCGGATCAGACCAGGCTCATGTTCAGCGTGGGTTTTAGGTGCAGGAATTCTGCCTTCCCTGAGCACAGAGTGCGTGCCGAGCGTCTGGGAGACTCCGGTGATCCCAGCTCTGACCTCTCCAGTCTGCGGTGGTTACCATGCACCGGGCTTTCCGCGGCTCAGCGCCGGAGACACCAGTGATCCCAGCTCTGACCTCTCCGGTCTGTGATGGTTACCATGCACCGGGCTTTCCACAGCTCAGCACCGGAGACACCGCTGATCCTGCTCTGACCTCTCCGGTCCGCGGTGGTTACCGTGCACCGGGCTTTCCGCGGCTCAGCGCGACTCTTGCAGGTGCTTCTCCTGTGGTAAAACACCCATTGGAAAAGATAACCTGCAAAAGCCGGAATGAGATGCAGAGATGGAACTGAAATGAGAACACTGGTCCCGTCCATGCGGCACTGTGCAGGTTTAACCCTCTGTGGTCCAGGCTCTCTGTCTTTTTCAGTCCCCAGCTGTCCTTAGGAGAACTCTTGGAGATCCACCATCTCCACCTTAGGTGATCTGTAGACAAAAGAACCTGTCAATAGTTCTGTCCATAGTTTTACAGCTTGTATTTATTTGTATTTTATCATCTCTTTTACCTAGCAATGTAAAGCGATCCCAAAACGCAACGTGTAATAAAGATTTATCGCATCTATCAAAACGCTCCCGTTTTCCATTCTTCATTTGCAATTAAGTGACTTCGCAATTAAGTGGATTTGTCATTTAAGTTCAGCGACTTCACGTTTCCGCGCTCCTTCCCCGGGATGCGGCGGG